CCAAGACTCAGAGAGGTCACCAGCTTTTAAGAACACGTAATAAACCAGCCAGAATAAGCTGGGATAGAAACCAGCACAGGGGAGAAGCATCTCTCAGAGCTGTGCTTGTCACGTGGAGGTCCAAAGTCCTGCCTGCAGCTGCCTGCAGCTGCCTGCAGGCTTCCTCTTTAATCTGAAGCCTGCAGCTTCAGATTAAAGAGCAGAAGGCGCTTTAGCGATTGATCCCAGCAGGCAGTGGTACAGATCGTGCGAGTGCCCGCACACTGACGGGTCCTAATATTGCTGAGAAATGATGTGCTGTCTGCTTTGCTTTTAAGAAAACTCATCAGCGCAAAATAAGTGATAACACCTGCACAGAATCAGGCCGTTACAACAGCAAAGCATCATTTACAGCAGGGGTGTCGCACTCCAGGCCTTGAGGGCCGGTGTCCTGCAGGGTTTAGATCTCACCCTGGGTCAACACACCTAAATCAAATGATTAGTTCATTAGCAGGCTTCTGGAGAACTTCAAGACATGCTGAGGAATTCATTTAGCCATTTGAATCAGCTGTGTTGGATCAAGGACACATCTAAAACCTGCAGGACACCGGCCCTCGAGGCCTGGAGTTCGACACCTGTGATTTACAGAATATAATGTGCCCCAGAAACCACCATCCTTACTACTGTACTGAACTCCAGCATGGTACAGTTACAGGATGCCACGTGTGCAAACAGTCCAGTCAGAAAGTTTCATCACTACTAAACACTCCAAAACTGTTAGAGGTATTATAACAAAGAGGAAGTGATTGGGAATGACAGCAACTCAGCAACAGTGATATGGCACGTAAAACCACAGAGTGGGGTCTGAGGATGCAGAGGTCGTGACCTTCATGTTAGCTGAAGAACAGCTGAGCAGCTCCATCCAAGCCTTACACCACCGAGCTCAAAGCAAAGCCTCACATGCATTTCAGCTGGCAGAAGCACAGAGTAACAAATGGGAACTGGTCTGATTCTTACAAAACACTTTTCTACTCTCCCAGAGAGCTCAAAGCACCTCAATACAACATGCTACATTCCCCCATCCACTTCCTTCTATGGCTTTAAGTCCTTACTAACCCAAGAGAGACAGGACTCGAACCCCCAACCTCCGATCACTGTATGACCTGCTCTACCTCCTGAGCCACTTCTCCATCTGGCAATTCGATGGGTGAATATGAGTTTGACTGTTGCCATGAGAACGGTGCTTATCTGACTACATGTGCCAGGTTTTAGGTTTGGTGTAGGAGGTATTTTGGTGTGGGGTTGTGTGTCAGCAGTTTCCCTTAAAGAAATGCTTCAGCATACCAAGACATCTGGGACGACTTCATGTTTCCAACTTTGTGGGAACAGTTTGGGGATGGCCTCTAAGACTGCAACACCAGTGCACAAAGCAGCTCCTGAGCTGACTGGCCTGCACAGAGTCCTGACCTCAACCCAAGATCTCATCCACCTTTGGGATGAATCAGAGCAGCGACTGCGAGACACTCGTGTGTGCTGTGCACAGATTCTGGAAGAATACTCAAAAATCCTATAAACACTCCTAAACTTCAACATTCCCAGATGAGATGAAACTGTTATAGCTGCCAAGGTTGGGCCACCATTGTATATGAAACCCTATGGATTAACAATGGGGTGTGACTCAAGTTCATATGCATGTGAAGGCAGATGAGTGAATACATGTGGCAAACCTGTGTCTGCCTGAAAATGGCTTTGTTTTAAGCCCAGTGCCCAACACCTGCAGGTCCTGTATATGGATGCTGTTCACTGAGGATACAAAGGTCAACCATGAACCATGAACAACTCTCTGTCCCACTCCTCATTACGCCCTTTTCCCACTGATGTCACTGTGGGAAAAGACCAGGCTAGAAAGCTAAAGATACAATATAATATACTTCATCTGATTCGGATTACAGATCTGTAACCAGCAGTCACAAACATGCCCCTCTCATGTTTGAGCTAGCATGTTTTGTGGTTGCTTGTGTGGATTTTATTCCATGAGAGGACGCTGTCAGTCATCCTCCAACGCCGTCCTCATCACATGGGAAACAGGAGCTAAAGACTGCCCACGATGTCAGAGGGGAGAGAGCCAGAGAGCAGCTTTGCCTCTGCAACATCAGACGGAGAGGGAGGGACGCAGATGTAAAGAGAGAGAGTGAGAGAAAGGAGGAGAAATTTGGCCTACTTCTCCTCAGCTCTTATTTATATGCTGAGGACAACACAGTAACCAACCAGAATCCTGGGAGCTGGCATAGCAACAGTCACACAAGTCCCAGTCTGAGAGGCAGCTGCTTAACAATTCAGGCGCCTGCTGTTATGAATTCATGAAGGAAACAGCAGGAACATCTCCTGACTTGATGTACATTTCCTAACGTGCCCCAGTCTGTAAATCTAAATATCTATACACAACACTCCTTACATGCCACAGCTGCACAGTCTTTGTATGCTAAATTAGTTAAATGCCTGATTAATATGCACCACAAAGCCCATGAAGGTTCAGTAAAACTAGGAATGTGAAGCTGTGTGTCTCATTGCCTCGTGTGTTCAGCCTTTGGAAGCAATGACAAGCTGAGCTCACAGAACAGCTCTGGCTGATGCTTTCAATATGCTGTCCAATCAAACTGATTTACCACATGTGGAAAAGACTTGAGTGGTGACAAGCAGTGGGCAGCTGGTGAATACATGTGTGCAGCGTAATGTTTGGCTTCTAATAAAGGTTTAATCGTGTTACCTGTAAGAGCTGCGGAGTCACTGAAAGCATTTTAGATTAAAGCTGTGATAGAAGTAAACGTGACTTGGTGTAGTGTGGGTTCTGTATGTTCCCATCTTCACAGCTGTGTGGGTTCTCTGGGGGTACACCAGCTTCCTCTCGCAGTGAAAGACACACATGTCAGGTTAACTGGTCATTGTGACACTGGCTGTAGTGAAGAATGGGAGCACGGCTGCTGCTCGCCTACCTAAGGTGGAACCACCTCTGGTCCAGTGATGGGGGGAATGGATCGAGAGATTTGTGCCAGGAATCTGATGAAACCACCTGTACACTATCCCACCCACCTGATTGTGCCTCTCAGTCTACATCCTACCAGCTTTCATCTTACATCCTGGAATTCTGTCCTGGATGGTCTCTGGAAGACCTCTGCACCATATCCCCACTATCACCACCATGGAAACCAGTGAGTTTATATATACCACTGCCACAGTAATGCCAGAAGCACTTGAGTATAAGATAAAGCTAGAAATGCAGGCAGATGACGCCCCCTGTGGAGAAAAGACCGCTGTCAGGCTGTTAGCAGCTGAGTGTTCAGCTGTGGTGAACACTTTGGGCTATCTTGGAGAAAGTTCAGCAGGATTACGACAGGAAACGACCGTGGATGGAATATTTCCTCCCACGTCACTCTGCCATGGTGGTAGATGTGAGGGGTTTAGGGGAGTGTTCCACATCTGCTTTTCATTCTATGCAGCCAGGCAGGAGACCTGTCTCTGCTCATCCTCTCCTAAACTAGTGGTAGTTGTGCAGTGTCAAATTCATTTACAGTTCTTAGAGTTTGTTTTGTTTTGAGTTTGTTTGTTCTGTCTCTGTGGTGAGTCTGGGTCTGGGTCCCAGGGTTTAGATCCCGTCGTACTGTTTCTCCTTCCCTGTGTCAGCACGCTGTGTATTAGGGTGCATTAGTCCCGGAGACTCTGGGCAACTGGTCCTGTTAAAGCTTCTGTACACTGTGTAGCAAGTCCTCCACCTTTATGTCATTCTTAGGACCTCAGTGCAAATATTAAAGGTCCTGAATGGGAACATAATCAACATAATCAAGGCAGGGATTACACTTTCTCCTACATATTTGGTATTTTAAGATGAAAACTGGTCTTATTTGTATAGGCAGCAGTGAAACTGTACACGACAGCAGCATGAAGCGAACAGCAGCTCTTTCACTGTGATGATAGTTGTTGTATGTCACTATAGTGTATACCTGCATACAGTTTATTTCTTCATTGACTAAGGCAGAGTGCATCAGTAATAATAACCCTGAGAGCCATAGTGCTGAGCCAGCACTCTGCCTGCACTCAGCTTATCCACTTTCTGGTCCGCACATTAAGACCATCTCACTCCAAGCTGGATTACAAACCAGGAAAACAAGCACACAGCTCTGTCTGTGAAACTGTGTGCACTGATTGGAGGGCGTTTACATTTCCATGATCATGGGCATATTGTCCTGACACAGGAACACCAAATATCATCCTCTGAACCACAGGGCTGGCCTCATTCATCATCATGTTCGCTGAGGCAACATCAAATGGAAAACTAGCCCACACAGAGACACCCACTTGTTTCCAGGTCTGAGCTGAGATGAGGGAACCAGCCACAACGAGGACACCGTGAATTATGCACCAGTGTTCAAACAGCTTAGCTGTGAGGTGACTGGGTTACCTGTCATCATTTAAATGCAGGATGTTTATGACACAAACATACCAGTGTAACACACTAAATCATGATATTTCTAAATAATTACCACAAAGTAACAGTTTCCCCAACTAAACCTTTTATTTTCACAGTAATAGACAGTCCAGGTCAGAGCCTGTATTCACCCTTCTGACACATCGCTCAGCAGCATCTTGCACTAACACCACTAGCTCTTCAGTAGTTAGCAGTCCTTACTGTGTCTGCAGCAGCTAGGTGCTGTCATTCAGGTGTGTACGTCACACCCTGTAACGCTCAGGGTTAAACACACCTGAACACAGCCTGACCCGTCTGGACGCTCTTTGGACACATGAGGCCAACAATACAGCAGCACAAACACCAGTGTCAGTATTTCGTGACTATATGTTGCAAGTCCAGACTGGCACAGGGCAGATGTTCATACGCACGGCTACAGCAATGGTTAACATTATATATCTCCAGTGGCTCGAATGACCCTGAGCGAGGCAGAGTGCAGGCGTTACCCAGTGTTCTTCTCAGCTGCCAGTGAGCATTAGTAAGACCTGAGGACACTCACCCTGTTAAAGCGTTTGGCCTGGAAGAGATGTCCGTTCACTCGGTAGAGCTTCCTCCATCTTCTGGCCCCCCGTCGGTAGATCGATTCTAGGAGAGAGAGGAAACGGTTGTAGAGCTGTAGCATGATGAGGGACTAATTGAGAGAGGGATGGAGGGGGTGCTAAGATAAAAGAAAAAAGTGATACAATCAGGTAAAAAGTGAGGTAAAGGTCCAGGTTTCATGCACAACATCAGAGTTTGAGCGAGGGGGGAAGATCAGCGTCGGGTTTCTCTACAGCAGTAGAAGCTCACACTGCTCTGCCTTATCCACTCCCTCCTTCACCACTCTTCAAACTCCTCCCTTCATGTTTCTCCCTCAGCACCTCCATCACTGCTTGTTTTACCTGATGAATAGACTCATCAGTACCTTATAATTCCTTTTATTCAGACGACACTGTAACGGTGGAGCTATTTATAACAGGACCGTGCAGTCTGCTAAAAATAAACTGCTGCTTCATTTAGATGTGTGAGAGCTGCTGCTGTTGGAAACAATATTTAACATTATTACAAAGGCTTTTCTGGGCTCATCAATAGTGTGACCGTCTGAAACAATCCTATCAGACACACTGTTATTAATATTATCAGGCTCATTGAATGGAATGAAGAAGCACTATAAAGACTTCTGTTTGTGTTTATTCTCTGCAGGATTATTTCATCACATTGCTGTCATGTGTGCTTCCATCCTCACACAATGCTGCTTTGTCAGATGTTGCCTCACCTGCTGCACACAAAGGTGTTGATGGCTTAATACAGAGAAACTCTTCTGGTATCCAAACTGGAGAACAACAACAAGTCCTCACATTTGTAATCAAACCGACCTGCTAACATTTTCAACATAATGCATGAAGCTGAGTCGTGTGGGCAGTTTTCTTATAACATCAACAATACTAAATCCTCTAAACTATGAAGGAATAAAAAAGAAACGTTACAACCAGTTTATTGGTGCGGTCTCCTACAACCCAAATCCTGATCCTGATACACTCACTCAAACCAACACTATTGAAAACACCTCTGTATGAAAGAGGACTCCAACCCCCAAACATGAAACTGTATTATTGGCCACCACAGACTGCTACTATACCAGCCACCGCAGTGAGAGGGGTTATATGCATATGGGAACTATGGGTGAGAAGCACCGAGTAGCTCACTGCAATAATAATAGAAGACAGCTACAGCACAGTGGGAACAACAGTATGGAGCCAGCCCTGGGAGAACAGAGCAGAAGTGAACTGGTTAATGCACAGTCACCAATGACAGACGGACCTGCTGAGCTGAGGATGAAGATTGTGGTGAGACTCAGGTAAGACCCCAACAAAGAGCACAAAGTCCTCGTGCAGATACTTGCATATGCTGCCTCACAGATCACTCCTAGTACCAAGTGTCCATGAGTGTGGCTCTAGAAGCTGCCAAACACAGGCTCACAGCTCCGGCCAAGAGAATAAATCACCTGTTCTCCAAAGACCCATCCAGGCTGCACCATCATCCAACAAGGGAATAATAGCAGAGAGTCACCCAGAGCCAAAACTGTAAAAAAGTCACCATCCAGTCCTCACACTGACTTCCAAACTGGTGACATCATCGGGGTTTAAGCCTTTAGTCAGAAGACGACACTGTTTCCACGGGCTGCTACACCACTCAACACGCTGTAGTTATTTTTACTATGGCTGAATTCACCATGAGTGTCATTAACTTGAATCAAAATGTACGCTGACAGTTAGCATTACACCAGTCAATATTACCTGTGACCAGTTCATTAAAACAAAAGCAGAAATAAGCATGATGACATCTTACACCCACAAAGCTGATCTGTCCCTGTCAGGTCAGATACCTTCTCACTGAAAAGAACAATACTAGTTTTCATTTCATTAAACTCAATCTTCATAAGACTTCATAGAGATGTTATTAAAGAGCATAGTGCTGAGCAGCAGCACGTTACACAGCCTCAGGCACAGCCTGTGTGTGCCGCCTCCTGCAGTTTACTCCAACAACCCAACACAACCACCTCACCACAGTATGAGCCACAGCCATGTGGCATCACCATCTCCCCTCTCACTAATTATTCATTAGCTGCTCTCCCAGTGTACCCCCCCCCCCATCCCCATCTGTACTAGCTTTCAGTCTAGTTAGTTTCTCCAGTGATGGGCGTGGCCTAATAACGTCCTCCACTCACACATCTTTTGCCTCTGTTGCCATGGTAACCCCAGCCCATGCTCATGTTGTCATGAGAATGTCAGAACCTGTCAGTAAAGATGCACCCTGACGATAAATCTTCTGAAAGCAGACCTCACTGTGGTGCTGAATCTGATTTCTACTCTGCGTCGTGTACACGTCTGTGCATTCTCATGTTCAGCATCACTGTGTGTGTAATATATAAAACAGTATTTGTGTGTTCATCAGGCTCAGGTCTTCTACCACAGGCCAGGCAGTGTGAGGGATCTGTGCAGCTGCTCCAGTTGTTCCTTCAGTCCCTGTTACTCCTCAGATTTTCGGTGTAGATGTTAGCGAGGTGGATCAGTGAGTCCTCCACAGGAGGCAGCTGATGGCCACGCCACTCCTGAATCGATATCCTTATCCACTCTTAGTGCTGAGCTGACGTAGGGGGGCTGACACCTCTGCAGAGCAGCAGCTGGGACAGTGCATCACCTCCATATACTGCATGCTTGTGCTGTTGCCTGGGAGCTGGCCTCCATGGTGCGTGCATGCTGTGCACATAGATAAAATGGGCACGCTGTGGTCACCATGGATGGTCGAGGTCAGCCACACAGAATTCTAATGTTTACTTTGAATTTCTGCAGGTCGTCCATGTTTACAGGCTTAAAGCTATGTGACTGGCTGATTAACGAGCAGCTGGTGTAGCTAACTTGCTTGCACGTCACTTTAAAGCGTGCAGTGTGGTGCGAGCCTCGACCAAGCCAAAAACAAAGCGCTCGTTTCTATTTGCAAATGAGAACCATAGAAACAAGGACTGAAATGCACCAAAGCACGACCAGCTTACTGGGCATTAAAGGCAAAACTGAAGTCACAGAGACCTCGTGTCACTAAAGTAGCCCTGCTGTAGAGTGACTCTGCTATGTTCAATGCACAAACAACAAGAAGCTGTGGCTGCTTTGGGTCTGTGTGAAGCCAGGCTGTGGAGATCTGAAGCACAAACAGGCCTCGCTCTTTACAGTTTTGTCTGTGAACTCCCTTAAATCTTCTTAAGCCCTCCAAAGAAAAAGAGAACCACTGCAGTGTGTTTCCATAGTTACCCACTATTTTCTTCTTACTGGTGGGTGAGGGAGATGGGGATGAGACACCACATGCTAATGTGGGGAGATGTGTGAGGAAACCTATGTGTGATTTAACACACAGCACATGCCCACACTAAATGCTAAATACAGTATGATTAAATCATTAAGTGCAAAGTGGTAGATTGCAGCAATTAGCTCAGTGTGTTGATAAAACCATGAGACAGAAGGAGCTTCAACACACGAGTTTCCTCCTTTGTGCCATACAGACTTGTCTGGGGGAACCTTCATAATCAGAGCATTAATAATAAATCAGTAGAAAGACTCTGATGGTTACAGCCTGCTGCAAACACTGCTTTGGTGTCTGTGCACCACAGCTGCACTGTGGAATGTTTTATCCACTCAGATCCTGTGTGGACCTGTGTCACTGACACGTGTGTCACGCGTGTCCCCTCTGACATGGCCAGGATCATTAGGACACACTCTCAGTTTCAGTGTTTTCATTCTCAGTGCACTGTATTTGATTCCTGTGTTAACAGAGTGGCTCTACCACTCAAACTAATACATCACAATCGATCAATATTCAATGGCTGTGAATATGTAAACGGCTTCTTTAAAGGCACTGGCCCCAAAAGAGATGCTTCAAAGAATACACCTGCGTGTAAGCATGTAAAGGCCACCTGTGGAACCAGGTCCTGGTGTGGATTCAGGAGACAGATTAGACTGAAAGCTGTGTGATAAAGCTTATAGTTGGGCTGGATCAGGTGATCCTGAACCATCCCCTACTTATGGTGCAATATGCTTGGGCTGCTGAGGGACTTCCCATGATACACTGAGCATTTCCTCTTTGCTCCTCTGTGTTTATAAATCGGTTAAAGTGTGGCCGTCTCTCCTACAGTTTGTCCCGTCTCTACCCCGACCCTCTGTCCTGAACCTGCTTCTGCCGTAGGTTTCTTCCTCTTAAACGGTAGTTTTTCCTTCCCATTGTCAACAACTGCTTGCTAATGATTTGCTTCCTAATACTGCAGGGTCTTTACCTTACAATATAAAGTGGCTTGAGGCAAGAACTGAGTTGAATTTATAATGACTGCCTGATTCGACTCCTGGCCTCAGACACAGCAGGAGCACATCTCAGTCAGCCAGTGAAAAGATCATGTGCTTGGTAAAGTAAGAGTATTGTTGAAGGAACCAGTAGATGCATAGTGCTGGAGAACAACGGTAATGTTAACCTGAGAGTTAGCATGATGCCCCTGTCAGCATCGTGATATTGTGCAGTTTTAACTCAAACATTGGTGTTAACCACAAGATATGGTAAATAGACCAATGGGATTCCCCGGTCTCATCCATGTTCCTTTAGTTCCTTTAGGTGTTAAAATTCAGATGAGCAGCTGTGAAACACAAACAGTCGACTGTGGTTAGAGCTCCATGCCTCCCTTTAAAGAACCATCACAGGACCTCTCACAGCCCAAATGTGCTGTAAACTCTGCTACACTTCACTTGCACTAACTGGCAAAGCTTCAAAGAGCTGACCTAGTACAGCATACCCCTGAGGAGAACAAGTGTTGCATTGTCCCACATTTCTCCCAAGGTGATAGTAAGAATGGCCCAAAGTGAATGAGCAAAGCAGAGCAGGCGAATCAAACGATACCATACCTCCAGATGCAAAGGCCAAAGCACACAATCCCGCCATCTTGTCCACTGGAGGGATGAAGACGAGCAGACAGCCTATCGGAGATATACTGTGACTTACGCAGCGAGCTGTGGAGCAGGAGAGCAGGGTGGTACTACCAAATCTCTCCAGAACAGGACATTTACAAGGGTTTGACTCACTTCCAGACATTGTTCCTCTCACTAACAGGAAAGTAGCAGCATATACGTTACCAACAACACCCGCCCCTCCCCTCAGACTCACGCAGAAAAAAGGAAACAGCGAGCTTTAAGAGTCAAACTGTTTGTTTTCACTGACTCTTAAAGGAATTAGCAGCAGCGTTCATCAGCGACACAGCGAGCACGTTCTCAGGAAATACAGACCGACTGGGCCAAGTTACTCTCTGCTGCCAGTTTTTAAGGCTGTTACATAAAGCGAGGCTATTATTGGCTCCCAAAGAAGCTGAAGCAGATCAATAAAACAGCCCCGAGGTGTTTTTGACACCGTTAGACCGTCTGTGATAACACAACAGACTTGCTGTGCTGGAAGAGACGGAGACAAAACTACACAACAAAGTCCCATAAAATCTTTATTATTAGTATTATTATTATTATTATTATGGGATTATTATGGACAACTTTATACAAACTTTCTATGGAATCAAATGAACTGTGACAATATGAACTATTTATTTATTTATGAGCAGTTTTTATTCAGGAGCCATCTTTGAATCTTATCCTGAGATAATCACAGATGCAGGGTGTGTCCTCAGGTTTGTTTGCTGCACCCTCTGCTGTTAAAGCAAACACTCGCCAACATGCTGCCTTAGAAATCTGTGAAAAGTTCTTGTTTCATAAAATAATATGTGAGCATGGTGTGATTGGGAACTTCAGCCTATGAAACAAATTTAAGCATTGTATGAACTTATAAATGCTCATCATAGTCAACAACACAGATTGTTTCCAGCGGTACCTTCAAAGTGTCTGTTTTAAAGTCAGATGCTCAGTCTGTCGTGCTCAGTGATGCATCTCAGCTGTAACATCTGAATAAATGACTTTCAGCAGGAATACAGCGTGTAGAGCGTGTACGGGAACTTAACTAAAGCCATCAAGTCACAAAGCTGAAATACAGACACAGCCTTACTCCTGGTCCCAACTGAGGATAGGGAGACACTGTGGGTTTGACACTGGTTGTACTGGGAACGAGGCTGTCAGAGAGACTCCCATACTCGCAGCAAAACAACACAGGGGAAGCGTTCAGTTAAAAATACTTCCTGTTATTCTCTCTAACTGATATAATGAGATGGATCTCGTTCTTGTGTCTTTGCGCAACCAAACCAAAGGAAGTGTTCAACAATTCCACTAATTCCAGGATTAAAACGCAGAAACATCCAAACAAGCCATTTCTTTTAATGACATCATCATCGCTGGCACCTTCGCTCAGCCCTCGTGTGACCTTTCTCTGCACACGCCTCAGATGACCCGACGTGCTCCACGCTCACCTTACCTTTGACTCGAATGTAGAACAGCAGCAGGAGCAGCATCCCTCCAGCTGAATGTTCCGGCTCCTTCATACTGGGAATTTCATGGTGCTCTCCTGCTGCTGCTCCCCTCACGCTGCCTTTCTCCTCCTACTCCTGCTCTCAGCGAACAGCTCCGCGTTCTCCTTCTCTGTTTTTCCTCCACAGTCCCCTGTGGCTGCTCCTCTTCAGCCTCCTGTCACCTCAAATGAAGCTCCGTGCCATACAAACACCATTTTTCCTATTCCTTCTTGCCGTTGAGCATCAAATGTTTCTCACTGAGAAAGGATCACATCACATGACTGAGGCTTTTCATCGTCTGCACCCACGCTGCAGTTACAGCTGGCTGCCCACAAGATGGCAGAGCAAGCTCTGACTCCAGCAGCACCACCCTGCTCTGCAGGCAACACGTTTTACCCTAAATATAAAGCTCACCTCTATTTTTAGTGACTGTGCCTATTGCAGCACATCCTGCATGACACTTCCAGCCCTGATTCTGGACACGGCCTGAAGAGCGTATGTGACAATGTTATTTTACTCCATCATAAAAAAGGACTGTGAGATCAAAACTGTGCTGGACAAAGATAATTATTCAGTTATTGAAAGCACAACGATCATTATATGAAGGTCAGCCAACAGTAATGTTTGTTTCTTTGGACATACGTTGGGTCAGTTCAGCTCTAACGCTTCGTGTTGTTGGTTTGCATCACTGTGTGGACCTTTGCAGTGACGCACAAACAACTTTTAACTATTATTCTACTGAGACACAGAAGCAGCAGCGCTGCTCACTGAGACCATGTGACCCTTTTCTGTTTAATGCCACACGTTCAAATTCAAGGCTTCTGGTGAAGGTTGAGGCAAAAAAATGAATTACAATAAATAATCTACTTGGTGGCAACATGAAATATAAATACATGAACAACTTCTCAGAGATGAGAGTAAAAACATTACCAATAGCTAATACTGTCCTGCTGCTATATGTGTGTGAATGCCCTGAGCGCTGAGGCCAGCCTATCAGCTCAGCCCTGTTCGTTTTCTGCTCTGGGCCAGTGCAAAAACATTTTTATCAAACAAAATGAGACAAAAACAAAGACGCTGAGAACGATCACTTCCACCTGTAGCATGAAGACAACATACGTGTGTATGCTGATACTCCAACAGGAAAATAGTGTTCAGAAAGCAACTGTGTGATGTATCAGGATGTGAGCAATAAACAAAAAACATCTGTGATTTGGCTTCAACACCGTTTATCAGGTAACAGCCTCTCTGTGACTGAACTAAGTCTCTGTTTGAGTCTCTGTGTTTCACATGTGACCACGATCAAGTCCACCATAAGAACACGCTTGCCTGCCCGTGTTGCAACACCAGGGGAGGCTGAGCAAACATTTTTTGCATTCCTTCACAGTGACGGAGAAAGGTTATACACAGTGTTAGAAAAGCAGCACTGCAGAAGCGGTCAGTGCAATGCTTCCACTCTGAACGAAGACGAGCTGCACGGCTGTAAAGAGGCGCTCTGCTGGGATGGGACAGGCTAACATCACCCAGCTTTTGTTCACATGACTTAATACTATTCACTGTCACACAGCTTTATTTATTTCACACTGATGAGAAACAGGGTTGTAAAGTAACTTTTAATTTTGGACACCCTGTCAAAGCTAATGAAGTTCTTGATTTGAAGGCTGGACTAAAGTCATGGTAAAATCAAAAAGTACACCCTCTTTAAATCCTCAGGTTTTACATATAATGAAACAAAATCATCTAGCAGATAGCTATAAGCTCAAATGGACTACTGCTATAATATGATAACGCCATGCTGCACTAAGTCAAAATGCAGAAGAAGAAAGCACAGCTGTGTTCCACAGCTTTAGGAGCAGCAAGCTGCTGCTAATCAAATGACTTAACTAATCATCAATGAGCATTACAGCCACCATACGACGGTCCAGAGCATTTACACTGATAAGGAGGAAGGGCGACAACAAAGGAGTAACTCTTGAGGCTGTCGAAGTTTAAAAGGTCATTTCCAGTTAATCTGAATCAATCATTCTACAGTGAGAGGGCTTACTCAGAAGTGGAACAAATTTAAGACAGTGGTCAATATTTCCAGCAAATTTTACCCCAATGTCAGACTATGGGATTCTCAAAGTCACATCTCACACTCTACAGGCCTTAGTTAGGATGTGTTACGGCCCGGCTCTGCTAGGCCACCGTAACAGGATGTTAAATATTACAGTTTGTGGCTTCTTTGTAAGGGTTGCCAGGGGAACGCCTCTGTTCAGTACAGAGAACACAGCAGCACAGGTTAGTGTTGGAAAGTAGCCTTTGAACAAACCAGGAGATTTCTGGAACAATGTCCTTTTGGACAGACGAGACCAAAGTGGAGACGTTTGGCTATCACGCACAGTGACTCCTTTGGCAAACCCAAGAACAGCACCAACACATCATACAAGCTATCAAGCACAGCGCTGATGATTTGGGCTTGAATGCAACCACAGGACCTGATCATGAACTCGTCTGTACAGCAAAGCATTGTAGAGTCAGATGTGAGGCAATGCAACAGGACACTGATCCAAGCACACCAACAAGTCTACATGAAGCAACGTTGTAGAGTAGAGGGGGCTAAAACGGATGAAGTCATTAAAAACCATAGGACACTGACTGACTGTTTTACTGTTTGAATGACTGGTGATTTTGAATTTTACAAAGACCTAGTCTGTTTGGACACATATTCATACAAACCTCCATTTGTCTTATACGTAGTCTATACAGTGGTTGAGCTTATTAGATTGCTTATTATTAGGCTGCTGAAACCTCGTAATGTTAAGAGCTGGAACACATGCTGCACATACACAACAATATACCAGACTACACAAATCTTTGGTCAAATGCTCCTTTGTGTGTGCTTCTTCTGGACCAGATCAGGTGGTGGATGCTGACTTCAGAACTTCTACATCAACAGAGCAAAGCAAAGTGACCTGATCAGGCATGTGGTGCAATGAACAGAGAAATTAAACATAAATGTGAGTAAAACAGTGATGCAGTGAAGAAAGAGACACTGCAGGGTAGATAATGGGGAAACCCAGAGTGAAGCTTTGGAAACCAGCTTGCTTAGCAGAGCAGCTTAGCCTAGCTCTCTTTGGCCAACGCTAGCTTCAGCAACACTATTGTTGTACAGCTTGTTTGTGCCAGCTGAAGGGGTTGCTCAGTGGGCGCACAGAGACCAGCCTTTTGTGGATTAGCCCTTTGAACAGATGTGCTCCAGGCTAACACTATTTACTGCAGAAGTTCAATAGTGGGACATGCCAACCACTTTAAATGCAGGAGATTCATCAGATCAGATGTTTTCTTCAATTAGATATTTGCAGAATTAAAAATTAGACACATTTTCATTAAATGGTAAATGGCCTGCATTTGTATAGCGCTTTTCTAGTACCTAAGGCATCCACCCATTCACACACTGGTGATGGCAAGCTACATTGTAGCCACAGCCACCCTGGGGCGCACTGACAGAGGCGAGGCTGCCAGACACTGGTGCCACCGGGCCCTCTGACCACCACCAGTAGGCAAACGGGTGAAGTGTCTTGCCCAAGGACA